CGGAGATATATCAATACAAAAGATCCCAATAAAAAGGCGGACTCCTTCAATTCTTTCTAAGTTTCGCGTGCTGATAGATATTAACCTCCTGATAACGATAAACACAAAATCTTGGACCGGTACGCTGTATCAAAATGTAAAGCTGTTCTTATGTCAAGGTGGCGAATGCAGCACGTATTGCATTTTACCATGCTTGACTCGGTTTTATATTTGATATTCAGTGGACTCCTCAAATTGGCCTGAAAATTTGTATACAGATGCATTTTGATCTCCTCAGCACAATGAGCACAAAATCTCGGACCGGTACTCTCTGTTACCTGAAATATCACAATGTGAAAGATCACAATAAAAGTGCGGACTCCTTCAATCCTTTCCAAAATTCATGTGTTGGTACATATTAGCCTTCTGATCACGATACACACAAAACTTTGGACCGGTGCGCTGTATCAAAAAAGTTACAGCTTTTCAAATGCCAAGGCCGCTAAGGTATGGCTATATATGCGGCATGGATCACATTTTCCTCATCCTTGACTCAGTTTCATATTCCATATTCAGCATACTCTTTGGATTGGACTCAAAATTTCTGAATACATGTAGCGTATTTTTCTGAGCATAATGAGCATACAATGTTGGATCGTTGCGCCCTATTACCGGAAATATGCCAAGATGAAAAATGCCAATGAAAATGGCGGACTCCTTCAATTCTTTGGAGACTCCGCATACTGATAGACATTGACCGCCTGATAACGACCAATACAAAACGTTGGACCGGTACGCTGTATCAGAGAAGTTACAGCCCTTCCAACGTCAAGGTCGCCAGGACAAGATTTACCGCGTTTTCTTCGACATTGAACGTTGGTTGAGGGCCACATTCATTCGGTTCGGCGTACTATGTGGTTTGTTATCGCTGGTATGATTGCGGTCGTTCTGGGTAGGATGTTGTTGGATATATCTTATTGTGGCAAACCCCCAGCTACATTAAGCCCAAATTCTATGTTCCCTGACAGGCTGGACCTATGTCTTAATTGGTTGTTGCCTGGTGTGGTATTATGTTGCTTTGTTTTCCAGAGGTAAATGGGCCAGACCTGCGGACGTCCAGAGGTTTCCAAAGCTCCCGCTGTTTTTGACCGGTTAATGCTCTGTTACCCGTCTTGTTACTATGATATGCATACCTCACTGCTCCCCTACCCTGGGATCTAGCCTTTGGAATGTCTGGCCACTGTTATATGAGATGTCTTGGTGGGACCTCCATTAATAATCTTACCATGCTGTCTGTCTTGTGATGTGGCTCATGAGCATCACCATCCACCACTGGTAGCCCGACTTTGTGATGTGGGTTATGGGCATCAACATCCACCCATGGTAGCCTGGCCTTGTGATGTGGTTTATGAGCGTCACCATCCGCCAGCGATAGCCTTACCCTGTGACCTGCTATGTCACTGTGCCTTGAGTTTCCGCTGTCATCTACCAATGGCCATACATGGTGTAATTTCAGCTGTCGCCTACCATTGCCCACTTTCCTGCAACCCGCCCGGTGACCTGCAACATGCCCCGTGGCCCGCATCCTGCCTCTGTGACCTGCAACCTGCCCCCGTGACCTGCAACCTGCCCTCCTGACCTGCAACCTGCCCCTCGTGACCTGTAATCTGCCGTCGTGACCTTCGACCTTGCCCCGTGACTCGCGCTCTGCCTCGAAATCCTGCAACCTGTGCTCGTGTCCTGCAATATGATCTAGTTGCACGTAATCTGACGCAGTGACCTGCATCGTGACCCAGTAACCTGTAACCTGATCATATGATAACTCATCTCATTGACCTGCAATCAACGCATTGACACACAACCTGACCCATCAGGCTGCATCTTAACTTCGTGGTCTGCACCCGTACCGTGACCTGTAACCTGGTCTTGTAGCCTGGCATGTTGCAGCCGTGTCTGAAATTCCACCTGCCCTGGGCGGGTGCTCTGACCAGTGCTTGTCTCGCCCGTGTTATGTGAGCTGTCCAGCTGTCCTCCGCTGATGACCACAACACGCTAACCAACTGGCGCGAGATGTTAATTCACATGTTTCTTTTACTGACGAAAACATCTCCGACAGTGAAACCACCCGTGGATACAGTTGTGCTTACGAATATAGTTAAAGGGAATGTTCCACATTTGTATGCCGTTTTGAACTGAAATAGCCATCTTGATGACCTTTTGATACAGTTCACGGTCATGTCATTTTTAAGACCCAAAAACGATTTGCTTCCTGAGTTACGCGACCGCAAAGTGTCAAAATCCTTATAGTTCCCCTATTTTAAAATCACCTTCTGATTAATGACGTCATAGAAACGTCATCACATACACGTCATATGATTGGTTGCTGTTTGTTTATGCTTCGTTTATGATAAAAACCGTATGGCGGCTGATTCATTCGCAAAGGCGATGATGCTGCACCTGTGTTACAATACGCGAAAGGTGATTGGCTGTTGTTAAGATTGTACTGCTGAATGCGTATCGCGAACATAAGCGTGAGCAATTTCGAGTTGCGCGGCATTTGTCGACGGGGCATTTTCCCCCACTCCCAGGCAGTGTCCTGTTTACATCAGTGGGGGTGCGGAACATGGGGTGATGTGTGCGCGGTGATCGCAGGACCAAAGAAAATGATTTGACTGTGTTCGCGTAAGTACCTCGCTCTCAATCTGTTAAAAACACTTCACGCCGAATATGTCCGGCGTATTGCTGACATTTCAGCAATAAGTTCAGGGTATGCACGTCTCAATATGGCATGCAGCATCGAGTATGGTGTGCGGTCGCTTTACATTGTTGTCACAGTTTAAGGAATGAGTATGCAGTCACGGACGTGTTCGGCCAAGGGAAAATTATTCAATGAATAATAATCTCTTCGATAATCATCCATGGATATTTTCCTTCTACACTCGACCGGTCCGGAAATTATCCCCCATATTAGTCCCCCATACGCCATCCACAGCCAACGGTCATAGCTATGCATAGCGAAAACAGATTCTCCGTCTTGACCATGCCCTGAAAATTCTCCGGCATTCTCCGTCGCTACGGAAAATTATCGGACAATTTTCCGTGATGGCACTGCCGAACGCCATTGCGAAAAATTTCCAATATTCCGATTAATTTTACAAGAGTATCTGCGGGCCGGACGCGCCCCGCAAAAATGGCAACACGCCTTCAAAACTGCCGGCAAAAATGCCTTCCAAAATAAAACAGTCTTTAAAAAGCAGATGCACGCGGCAGCTGAATAGCAGGTGCAAGTGCTAGGAGCTGGGCTTACGGTTGCCACCAATTTCAGATATGGTTTTGTTTATGTACTTTATTGCTACAAAAATATGCAAAATATTAATTTGAGAGTAAGTAACTGGGGCCAAGTATGGCATGTTGGTGGAGGACATTGCATGGCACATTTGCAAGTAGCTTTTTGTAACATTTTTGAGTAAGTTCAAATACTTTTACTTGTTTCCATCACTAGGTTATGGGCACCACATGACCAATGTAGTTGGGACACCCTAAAGCCCAAATCATTATCATCGTCATCGGACTTGCTTCCGTCTTCTACCTATCTCACTACCGTCATGGAGCTACACCTTGGCCCTTTGATGTAACCATTTCATAAACAGATGACGCATAAACTTGCATAAACTTGCATGAACAGTGTGAATTTTGTCAGTCAGGCCAGGATCAGGGATATCAGTCAAAAATTATTCCATTGTTCCAGATTACAGGAATCATCAGTGTGCTCAACTTATTACTGAATTTCACGTGCTGTAATAAGATTTGCAACTGGCTGAGCTCCGAGCTGTCATATTCCACAACGACATTGTTTGGGCATTGCGATGCTGCTGCCACTATATTAAAACACTAAATTCGCTTACTATTAACTAGATTTGGTGACAGCTATGAACCATGCTCACAGTTTGCAAAGTTCATGGATGCATGGCCTCAGCATGTATTACTTATTTCTGGGATGACGAGCAATTCAAAATGCGTCAGACATTTTTGGCAACCCAGATGTACTCCTGATGAATTGCCACTTAGCACAATGATTAAAGTACACGCCGTGGGCAGATATTTTCAATTTGCATTACTCATTTGAAGTAAAAGATGTCCATTGTATTGTATGGTGATCCAATTTCCCATTTATTGTGATCCTGTCAGATTCCCAGCTCAACAAGGCCACCAACAGAAATAGCTTCATGCATGTGGTATCAGTGTTGTCAAGCTGGTGCATTGAGTGTGCCAGGCACATTTTCCATCAGATGCCTTTTCCAGCCTGGTAGCCAACAGGAATAGGCTTAGGGCCAATGCTGTGCCCTTTCTGGAGGCTTGTGAATGCCTAGGTTTTCTTTAATTCTTTTTGTCAGACACTTGATATTTAGCCTTGGCATTCAGGCTTGAAGTTATTCAACATTAGAACACACATGGCGTTTCTGTGATCACCTTTTGTCTCATTCATTTCTATGTCCGCTTTCAGTCATTATTCACTCATGCATTTCAGTGTGCTGCAGTCATTTGTTACATCAACATTTATATGATGCAAGTAAAACATTGTTTTGTGTTTTACTTGGCGCACATGTCACAGTGCTGCCCTATAACCTGCACATTGTGTGACAGCTTTGTTCATTGTTAATCTTTCTGATACTGATCGTTGATGTCCTGGATTGTTTTCAGCACAGGGAAGGTGTTCCAGGCACCCCAGTGCTTTTTGTGTCTACGCCATCTCAAAGACCAGCATCTGGGTCAGTGTTTTCTTTTTGGGTTAGATTTTGAAAGCTAGTTTACTTTTTTAACAAGAAGATTGAACTTTGTTTTACAAAGATTATGCTACAAACTGCATTAAGTAATGGTATAAAGATGCTTAAATTTGCAATAACGATTGATAACATTGTCTTATGCTGACCATATCATGCCAAACACAAGGAACCCGACGCGACGCGCTAGTGCCGCCCGCCGTCCAGTTTGCCATGTCGTGTCTGCGCGAGGAAGCACTAATGACCGTATCGCTGGAGAAGTACAACATCTACCGCACGCCCGATGGCACCCTGTACGACACCAGCGTCAAGGACAGGTGCGTCCGTCAGCGGCGAGAGCGATGCGAGCGGCGCCTCTTCCACTGCCTATGACACAATGGGGTCGCCGGCGGGCTTCTCAGGCTTTGGCACTCGATGATGTTGACATTGCATCTCTTCATAATGGTCCCTTTGACTCTGCATATCACGACACATCCGAGCGTGCCCCGGTTGGGCGAATGGACCACAGCGTGCGCACGTGAAGATGCCCTGATGTCAGACCCCGAACTCCCATCCCCTGTATCCGGGCGACCGTCGCACGAGCGCAGCTGGTGCACCTCAGTCGGACGCTGGCGCGCGCCTCAGTCTGACGCTGTCGCGCGCCTCAGTCTGACGCTGTCGCGCGCTTCAGTCTGACGCTGACGCGCGCCTCATTCTGACACCGGCGGCGCGCCTCATTCTGACACTGGCGTCTCCGCTCCAGCGCCAAGGAGGTGCAGCCATCCAACATCAAACGTGACAGCAAGCTGTACTCGTACAAGGAGCAGATGGAGGAGCGTGCTCTGCGGCTGGAGCTGGAGGCCACGCGCCGCCGCGAGGGCCGCGCCGTGCCCAAACAGCTGACCATCAAACAGAAGGATGCCGTGGCCCAGCAGCTGGAGAGAGAGAGAGACAGAGAGAGAGAGAGAGAGAGAGAGAGAGAGAGAGAGAGAGAGAGAGAGAGAGAGAGAGAGAGAGAGAGAGAGGGAGAGAGAGAGAGAGAGAGAGAGAGAGAGAGAGAGAGAGAGAGAGAGAGAGAGAGAGGGAGAGAGAGAGAGAGAGAGAGAGAGAGAGAGAGAGAGAGAGAGAGAGAGAGAGAGAGAGAGAGAGAGAGAGAGAGAGAGAGAGAGAGAGAGAGAGAGAGAGAGAGAGAGAGAGAGAGAGAGAGCAAGATCAGGAGTCGGTTGGTCGAGGTGCGCCAATCAAGACCCACTGTTCAAAGCCCATTCGGTGCCGGCCATTGGCACATGGACTTGACATGATGGAAGTTGCACTGTGACACTGTCGAGAGCTTTGCGACTAATAAGTGGCACTGTTGTGCGTTTGCAGTGTTGGGGCATAGTACTGCCGTGTGCAGGGGCGTAGTTTCGCAAAATGAGTTTTGGAGGGGGGGGGGGGGGCGAATAGTAAAAGATGATCCAACCTGACCCTAAATATGCCAACAGACAGGTTTCTCCCCGGATTTTGCCCATTTCCAGTGCAAAACGTGGGGGGGGGGGGGTGAATCAAGTTCAAGTTGGGGAGAGGTTGAAGGCCCTCCCCAACTGATTAGGAAATGATGCTCCTGGCTACGTGTTAGGTCCAATGCCTGTTCTGTTCCATGTGTGCTGCTGTGTAGATGTGTGGTCAGGTTTGCTGGACATTTGCTTCTCATGTGTAAGTGCTGCACGCCGCCGGTCCCCTGCCTGGGCGCCTCCGTGCTGTGCTCCGTCACCCGGTCGGTGTTCCCTGACGGACGGACGGCGCCGGTCGGTAAGTGGACGCTCGCTTCAGCGCGGCCGCGTCGCTGGTGAGCGCCGCCGCCGCCGGCACCCCGGCGTCGCTGCAGCGGAAGTACACCGAGCTGCTGCCGACGCTGGTCTCGCCGCTGCAGTCCCCGCTGGCGGCGCCCGGCACCAGCCAGCTGTGGCTGCGGCAGGCCCGGCTGGCCTTCGACGCGCCCCTGAAGCCTGCGGGTGCGTGCCAACCGCGGCCTCGCGGTGAAACCGGGCTTCAGGGAATGGCTGGGTTGGTTTGGTGCACTGAGTGCTTGATGCGTGCGTAGAAGGCTGGCGTGGTCCGGGAGTGTGGGGGGGGGGGGGGGGGCATGCTGGTGTGCGGTGGGTTTTGGATCCGTGCGTACTGGCTGCTTGTGGAGGTCGGGTCCTGGACCTGACGTGGGACAATACGTGCGGTAATCTACATGTCTGCGGAGGCTCCGGGGCAGATGTATTGCTCCTTGTCTCGCCCTGTCTCTCTGCCTTCGTTGATGGGGGAAAGCCATGACAGCGGCGTCGAAACCCGAACAGAGGCGCCTCTCAGAGGACTCTGAACTGACCAGGGAGCGGGGGACAGCACACGTTCGGGTGTGTTCGCACTGGCTGCTGCGCCGCCGCGTCGGCAGACACCGAATGGGGATCCGCCTCAGAAGTGTCCCCTGACGCTGGGGAGCGCCGCCGTCCGGCTGTGACGCGGCGCTGGTGTGCGCTGTATTGACCCGAGCGGCCCCCTCGGCCAGTGGAGGCCGTGGCGCACGTCACCCTCCGTCTGACCGAGCCTCAGTGCACCGTGGATGCCGGCTGGGAGGCAGAGCAGCCGGCCGAGGCCGCCTACAGGCGCGTGCTGCGCCTCCTGCACGATCGCTGCGCCGCCGCCGGCCGGCTGCGGGCGCCCGCCTTCGTCGTCTGTTTCCACCTGCTACGGCACGTGCTGGAGAGGGCCAACGACGACGAGGAGCTCATGCTGAAGGGCCTCAAGGTGGGCGCAATGTGGAGAGTGACGCCACGCGCGGGGCTGGCCGCAGCGCCGCCCGTTGCCCAGATGGGCCAGCGGCTCCCCCTGGGGAGGCCGACGCTGGCGTTGCAGAGGTTTTAGCGGCTGCCGGTGTGTGTACACAGGTGGCGTGTGAGGCTTTTTTGGCGCGTGTCCACTGGGGCGCAGTCGGTGCTTTCAACCGCGCTTCCCAGAGCATTGTGAGTTTGCCATGTGCAGTCGTCTTCCACGTATCAGGCGCAGTGATGAACAGCGTCTTGTCACGTGCGTGTTTACTGTAACACTGCTGGCTCGGTGCGTTCAGAGCGTCAGTGCCTGCTGTCGGCCGACCTCTTGCCGCGCCCGTCCAGCTGATCCAGATGCACGCCGAGCTGCGAGGCGACGGCGATCTCAGCGACCCGAGCCTGCTGCCGCGCCGGGCGCTCATCACGCTCGTGCTGCGCGTCATCGTTACGGCACGACCGCGGCCCGCCCGACCACACCGCCGGCCGAGAGAGCCACTCCGCTGACGGCTGGTGCGGTGCTCACCGCCCAATGCTGGATGGCTGCCATGTGTGGTAGCGGTGGTTTGCTCTTGGCCGATGCCCCGGGTGCCGGACGATAGTCTGGCCGCGGGTGAGGCGCGTCCTGAACAACTGCACTGGGCTTCTTGCCATTGATTCGTGACATGTACTGGCGCGTTTGTGACATGCTATTGGCGCAGGAGGCTGTTGGCGCGCTTGTTTTGCGACTACCGGTGAGGACCAGCGCCGCGGCGTCCTCCGTCCGTCCTGCGCCCGTCCGGGATGGCGGGCGCCCGGTATGACCTGTCGTCGGGTCGCCGCAGGCGCCACGGCCGGCCGGGTGCAGCAGAAGGCGTGCGCCGCGCTGCTGGAGCTGGCCGCCTGCGCCTCCGGCTAGGAGGGTTGCGCCGTGGCCGGTCGGCCCGAGCTGCAGGCGCTGCTCGACGCCCTGCGCAGCAAACTGAGGTCGTCTCAGTTTGCGACGCCGCGCTACCGGTGAGCAGACGGGCGGGGGCTCGCCGTCGGGGGAGGCGCTCGGGGGCCGGGACCTCCTGAGGACCCCCGCTAGGGGGGGGGGGGGGTTGCTCCGGAGTAGGGATCGCCTGAGAACCTCTCTCAGGGAGGTGCTCCGGGGTTGGGACCGCCCAAAAACTCACTTTCAGGGAGGTGCTCCGGGGTGGGGGCCGCCTGAGAACCCCTCTCAGGAAAGTGCTCCGGGGTGGGGACCGCTCAAAAAATCACTTTCAGGGAGGTGCTCCGGGGGAGGGGTACGCCCGAGGGCTCGCCACCAGGCAGGGGAAGTGCTCCGGGGGAGGGGTGTCTGAGGGCTCGCCACCAAGGGAGACGCTGGCGCTGAGGGGCTTGGTATGGTCTGTAACGCGTGTGCTATGTTCTGGTCATGTCCGCCGCCTGCTTTACACCTGGGCGCCGCTGCTGGGCTGGTGGTATTGTTTCGCTCGCTTGCCCGTAGTCTGCCTGACCGCGGACCGCCGTGTTAGTGGTCATAGGAATCAATGACAGTGGGGAAGTCAGCGCACTCAGTGTGTCGCTGCACGGGCTATCGGCTGTCGGCTCTGTAGCCAGACTCGATAGCGGCGTACTCCGTCGCCGGCAGAGTCTGGACGTGCTGGCGGACGTGTTGGAGTCGCTGGAGGGCTCGGAGCTGCCGCACGTACTCGCCGAGAGGATCGTCCTCATCAAGTTTGACGACTCGGACGAGATGAGGTGGGCGGCGGATCTGCGGCGCGCCGCCTGTCTGGTCTCTGACAGGCGGCGCCCCGGACCGCGCCCTGACTGACAGGCCGTTTGTCTCGCTGCTGTCTGTTTGTTGTCCGACTCTGCGCCGCAGAGCGGCCGCCTGTCTGGTGGTGGTCCATGTGTTGGTGTGCTGGTGACTGCGCCGCGCGGAGCTGTCCCTCGAGCTGTCGTGTCTGTGGTTCGTGCGTGTTCATCGCGAGCTCTTGCGTGTACCCGCTGCCGGCGGGGAGTGTGGAGATGCGAGCTGGCGCCGGCGCGTTGGCGCGCCACTGGCCGCTGACCGTGCTGTGGCCTCGCCCAGGTCGGCCGGTGACCAGCTGTGGGAGCATCTGTCGCTGACCGAGGAGGCGTGGCTGCTGGCACCGCTGCTGGAGGAGGCGATGTACCCGGAGGAGTGTGTGCAGCGCGCGGCGGCCACGCTTAGTGTATGCATCATTGTAGGCACACTGGCAGTCTGGAAGTGTTTCACGCTGCCAGCCTTGTGCACACTCCAAAGCTGAGATACTTCGCTAAGTGTTAAATGACATGCGTTCGTTACAATATTTTCCTTTTGGGAAAGCGCCCGGTCTTGGTTCTTCTTGACTGGTCAACCGCAACAATCGCAACATGTTAGCGGCTTCAGCAAAGCCCCTGTTTCTGTTGGTCACAAAGTCACATCGTGATTTAAAATTGTAAGTGTTGTTGTTATCTTGTCAGTATGCGCTTTTGCGCAGTGCTGAGCACGACATATACATAACATATCTTGTTACAGGCCTCCCAACTTTGTTACCCGGAAGCGCGCAGCTGTGCTGGACTGGTCTGCGCATCGCAGCCGAGGCTATGCCAGGGACGATGAGGGCAACGTCAAGTGAGCAGTCATTCACTCCAGTGTTTGCGTCTCGCCGTGGGGAAGTGCATGGCGTGGCGTCACTGATCTCCACCACCACCAATAATGCAATGAATGCGATGTCCCTAGCGGTGAATCCCATTGGCGTTTGTCCGCCTCAGTTTGTGGGTTCGTATTAGCACACGTGGCGAGGTGGGTGAGTGCGAACAGTTGTGTTGCCCGCCGTTTCTGTTATTTTGATCAATGATACGAGGCATTAACTCATGGGAAACGGTGTGGACAAGGCTAAAAAATGTGATTATCGAATAGCTTGCAATTGTCCGGCGACAGGTCCTTTCTGCAATATTAGGCAATGTTATGCTTGTTTTTGCTATTTGTCAGGCATCTTCTTTTTGTAGACGATTAGTTAGTTAGGCTAGCTAGCCGGTAACGAAAGGCCACAGTGATGGGTGTCAGTATGAATTAGTTATGACTCCACTTTGTCGCATGGTTCCAGAACGTCTCGCGTCTACAGCCGTGTCTCCGATCAGTACATCCTACGGCTGGTGAAGGCGCCGAAGGCCTTCCCGCACGTGCACCCGCTCCTGGAAGCCATCGCGGACAGGCGTATGCAGGTCACGATCACCGGTCCGTCGGAGCACTCCGGTGTGGCACACCCGCTTGTGCACCACGGACCGTGGGCAGACGAAAGCCGGGAGAGCCTGGCGGAGAGCCGCGCCCGGCACAGCCCATTTAAGTAGATTGTCTGTCATTTGTCACACCATTCTCATGTCATGGCTGCTTTGTTTTGTTTTGTCATATCAGTTGTTTGTCATCATTTGTCATGACCGCTAGCCCTGCTTTGCTTACCCTGGTGGACGTAATACGATGTTCATCAAGGACCGGAAGCTCCTGATGAATTGTCATGTGCGGTTTGTGGGCGAGCGACAGGTCAGTTGTCATTATCGTTGGATGCGTAATCGCCGGGGACGTGTTTCTTTGTTACGTACGTTTTGTCAATACGAAAAACAAGCTGAACAAATAACTTTACTTGGTTGTGCCTGGCCGAAAATGATGTGTGCATTGTATCGGATGTGTTTTTAGGCCCATGATACATGAGATGCAGAGTTAATTCAGGAATATACGCTTGACCAGTCTTGCCACCAAGGAATGTATTGGGAAATCGGGGATGGCAGCACAAAAACTCGTGTCATTGTTCGGTACGCCACGCCACGATACAGCACTGAGGTAGCGTCACAATGACCTTGTTGGCGCTGAGGCGTGCGATTACGCAATGTACGACATTGGTTGACCAGCCTTTGTTTATGGGGATGATAGTTTATAATTTGTGAATGACTGATAATAACTGGTCTAACGCCGTGCTAAGTACTATTACCAGCAACAATGCCGTTGCATCACAATGGTTGTCAGGGATAACTAGCGACCCTGAGCAAGAAAGACATTCTCGGTTGCCCATGTACCACCACTGAGCGCCATGTCATCATTGTAAATATCACACGTGATGATTATCAGGCAGTTAGTGGAATCTCTAGTGCAAGATACCGACAAGAGCAAGGTTCCCACATCAATGGACAGTTCTGAGTTGACCGCCCAATTATGCACGATGTGTATGTACGATATATGATGAGTGGTAATATGGGCCGTTTTTCCACACAGGCTATCTGGGTTAACATAGAATTATCTACGCTAAGCTATGATGAAAGACATTCTTGGTTCCGTCCATGTGCATTGCTCTTTGTACTCAAAGGATGGCGTCCAGGAACTGGAAACCGACGTAATTGCCGGCCGGGTCCGGCCACTTGCGTCGGATGATGGCAGAAACAGCGCAGGCCGGAACCGGCCGGCGCACGCCTCGGCCGAGCCGGTCCCATCTGTCGACAGCCGGGTTGACAGGGTATCACCACATGCCTCTCTAAAATTGGAGCGCAGCGGGTGATTTACGGTTGAGTGGTAACAACTAAACACCTAACACCTTTATAGTGCTACGAGTTACGGGGTGATATCTGCCGTTACATGACTTTTTCATTCAAAGGAACAAGTACGCCACACGTCGTCGTGCCCCTGGCATGGAGCAGCAGCCATTGCATTGGCTGTATTAGTGTCCTGGGCTTACGGCGTAGCGGAATTTGAACCCGTCTGTCTTTCTCTCTTCCCCCCCCCCCCCCCCCCCCAGTCAGGGCCTACGGCATAAAGGGATTTCAACCCGTCTTTCTCCCCCCAGTGGGAATCCGACGTCCTAACAACTTGGTTATGACATTCGTACCGTCGCATCACGATGGCTGTATCCAGCTATATGAGTTAGAAGATGCAATATAAATTTTATCGATAGAACAAAACCTACTGCTATCATAGTGCCTCTGGCTGTGCCAGTCATTCACAAACCTCCACAGGATGAGCTAACGGTACGCCTGGTACCGCAATGGTCGGTTAAAGGCACCAGGCTCGTCCGCCCGCGGGAGAGGGCTGGCCGGCTGGGCGCGCAGGTCGGCGTACAACAGCATGCCAACCGTGACTGCTGCTTCTTTCAGACAGACCAGCTGTATTTACTGCCACACAGAAGGCAAGCAGTGCGAGCATATGCTTGATGGAAGCTTGTATGGCCCAAATCACCTAGTACAGATTGGAACAATTGTGGCAGTTGATCATGCCCGGAACGGTGCGTCAACATGTAAGCCAAGTGGGACGATGATTCATATCTGAGTGATGTGAACGGTCACGGCTCGGGGCGGTGTGTTAACCCGTAGTCACGCCGACAGGGGTGAGATATGTTTGTAAGGTACTTCGGCAGCTTCGGCGGCAGCAAGCAAGCTAATTATTTTAATCATGGAATACAACAGCAGCAGTTGGATCAGTTGTGTAGCCTGCCTTCCGTCAAATTAAAATTGTCTCAAAAAAGGAACACAGCATATGCAACACCTTAAATGCGATGTCTAAATGTTCAGTAAGTGGGCAGTCATTTCCAGAATAACGCATAATGAAACATTTACCATGCTTGACCAAGTGCCAATCATACCTGGTCTGTCAGAATACAGGGCTCCATGCCGCAACACAACTCTTAGCAGTGGTGGGCATCAGCTTGCATCTGAGGATCACAAATTGTCAACTGCCTTCCACACAAGAATGGGCAGTAGCGATGCAAGGAGCCAGGACATCTGTCTGCCAGTCTTTGCAGCAGTAACAGGTCCAGCAACAGGCCTTCTACAAGTCAGGATGGGCTATCTATAGGCCAGAATGGACCATCTTAAGGCCAGAGTGGGCCCGATAAAGGCTAGAATGGAGTCTTAAGGCAGAATGGACGCTTCACGGACCAGTATAGACCATACAGGCCAGAATAGGCCCTCCACAGCCAGTGGGTCATGAACAGATCAGAAAAGGTCTCTACAGGCAGAAATGAGGCCTCCACAGTTAATAATAGACCTTCTGCAGATCAGAATGGTCCTTAACGGACTCAGCAGTGATCTCTTTTGGTAAGAACATGTCATATACAGGCCAGAAGAACTCAATAGGAACACATACAGACTTACACAATACATTTACAGTTCAGAATATGCCTTAACATGCCATGTGGACAATCATCATAATACACACCTTGTGCAGGTGCACCGCTCAGGTCCTTGCGTCTGTTCCAGGCGCGCTCCGGGGAGGGCAGTGAGGAGGCTCGCACCTCCCATGCCAGAGAAGGGTAGCGGACGAGAATGTCACAGAGGACCTCCTCGGCCTGATGTTCGTTGGCCAACTCTGCCACCAGTTCCTGATGGAAATGTAGCGTGAGTGCACAGTATGGCATGCAGATACTTAGCAGGATGTTCAACATCACTTTAACAGTGAAACATACTGCCTAAAACAATGAAGAAGACACCACTTTTTCAAGGCAAAGAAGACACCAATTCTAGCATCAATTACTGACCACAACATCTAACATTTTGCTTCTTAGTACATTGTGTGTGTAGCAAAACATGGAATGGGTAACATACAGAGACAGTAATGTTTTTTTTTTTTTTTTTGGTTAATCACTTGCCCAGTTTGCCGGACCATGAAGACCAAGCACACATGTATGCACTGAAGGCAGGTGGTCTTGATACCATGACTTTGTGAAGCCATTATCATTACTTTTTCTGGTTACGTACCAAAATTCAGAAGATGCATAAAATGCTGTTACCCTAGCATGGGAGGCTTGAGCCGAGGCTGCCACCTCAACTGCTCTGGCCCTGTGGAGCATGACATGGTCATAATGGCAACGCAAATGAAAGGAGACCACTAAGCAGCATATGTTTACATTGTCCTATATGTTTACATTGAGATGGGAAAGTTGGACCAACTGAAATTAAGTCATGATTTTGTAGACTGGCATATACAGACCCACACAACACAACTGCGCACTCTCTCCTTCAACTTGCACAAGTTTTAATCATGGCTAGACTAAATTCTGTGAGAAAGCATCATGACTGATTACAGTTATGTTCACGTGACATGCGTCATGCATCATCTGCTAACGTAAAGCCACCTCTTAAACAGCATAACCAGTGCACATAACTGCTTTACACAAAGTTATTCTTTGGGTAAATGCATCAACATCTCCCAAAACTCAAGAAACTGATAAATGCAGTGACAGCATGTGCACTTGAAACAAATAGGATCTACGCATACAGATAAACTGCATGTGCAACAATGGTACAGAAATGTAAGACCAGAAAATCAGATCACTGTGTGAAAAGCTAAGTAGAAGTGAACATGCCACCAGCCATCCCCAGGGGTTGCTCACCCAGATGCCTCCTGAAACAGACGCCTCACAGCTGCTGGTCGGGTGGGGCGTGGCAGGCGGTCTCGGCCACGGCCTCGTGGCTGCCGACGTCCAGTCATGCCGATGACACAAGAAGCAAGTTACTTAATAAGGTAATTACCAAACAAAACAGAAAAACAAATTCGAAAACAAGATAAACACAGCAGCATCACTAACAGTGATTGACACTCGTACTGTGATTTAACAATGACAACTTGTACTGTGATCTAATCAAAAAATGGCATCATTGGTAATTTGTGTTGTGCTTACCAGACACTGTCTATTATTTGTAACTAGAAATGGAGTCATATCCAAAAATTAGCGATACGTTTGAAATTGCCATGCATTCATTGTCAAGATATTGTTATTGTTGTGCCAAAAATGGATAGGATAAATCACTAAGCATTTGTATAAAACTGATGCAAGGACTATGCACAGCAGGCAAATATAGGTCAAAAATCCAGCATTAAGACACTCAACACTCCTCGACAAGTTTCAGTATGACATCCACAACAATATATGACGATTTTCACAGCATTCCGTACGCTGATATATATATAAGCTGCCGAAAATCTGGCGGTTGTTACGTTGCGCATGTTAAACAGTTCACCAAACTTTTCCTTCGCCCAGGAACAAGACACACTGAACACCGCCCACCTACCCTCCACCAGAAGCAGCTGTCACCACGAAAATGGCGGCTGGCATCAGCTTTCGTGCATTTAGAGGTGTTCTTGAGGTGTGGTTACCAAATGGAAACAGATGTTGCTGTCCTCACACAACGAGTCCATGACGCCATCAAACAATGACGTAATGGGACGCATTTTTAAAACTTTAAAGTTTTGCTACTTTTTGCTACTTTTGCTAATGTCTGGGTCATTTTTGAGCCTTGAAAGCTTCCCCATAGTTACAAGTAAGCCTTTAGCGTCATATGCGATGCTTGTCTCAAAATCTTCAAATGTGGAGCATTCCCTTTAACCTCCGTTGATATCATTGTGCTCGTTGCCTGCATTTGTCTACAGTATGTTGTTTTACTTACTAATTTCGTCAGATTAGTAGCTTAATGTCTGTTGCCACATGCCACTAATGATGGCTATAAGGCAACGTACGAAACGGCTAAGGTTTGGCTCGTGAGATTAATCCGGTGTCGTCAACGTCAAATAATCGCGTTCGCAGAAGGCAGAACACTGGTACGCCAAGTGTCGCGATATCTACGCCCTAGCCACTAAAGCGGCGATAGTAAGTAGGGCTGCTGAGGTTCTTCCGTTGTACGATACCGAATGCGTTCTCGTCATCGACATTATATTTACTCAATCACTCAATGTTACGTTCCGTGATAGAAGTGGTCCGATGTTGAAAA